CCCATGCCTCATGGTCCCAGACACAATGCTTGCAGTTATGTACACTGTGCCCCAGGTCCCTCCCTCCATCCTACAATGAGCCCTACCCTCAGTCACCTCCTGCCACTCACAAACTCACTCACCAAGTGCCTGCAGAGGTCCCGCAGCAGCTGCTCTTGTTTCACCTGCTCTGGCCCCTGGACATGGAAGGTCAGAGTTGCCTGCACCCTCCTTAAGCCCAGGTAAGGGCAGCAGAGGCCCAAAGTTGTTCTGCACTCCTGAAAAACATGATCACACCAGGTCTGTATTCCCTGCTTACTGCTGAGCTGAGGCTAAGGGTTGCCTCTTGACCCAGGACTGAGCCCAGGCCAAGAACAGAAGGGCCTGGCCAGGAGGTGACTGGCACTAGGCACAAAGGAGTGGCTGTGAGCAAAGGGAAGACTTCTCCTGCCTTTCATATGGCACCTGCGGGCAGCACCCATCTCCCCCCCCAGTAAAGCCATGTAGGGAGATTTCCTGCATGCACAGCAGGGTCAGATGTGCATCCTGCTCTGGACCTGGGAGGCAGCCCCGAGCTGCCTCCCAGGTGGGAAGGGGATAGTCACTGCAGGACACAGGAATGGCAGAGCACCACTGGGGCTGGACTGAGGAGACCTGGTGGGGCTGAGGAAATCAGTGTCACTGGTTCTTACCTTGGCCACCTGCAGGTTGGGGTCCTGCAGGTAAAACAGGAGTGCTGCCAAGCTCTGCCTCACCTGGCTCCTATAATAGGCTTGCCTTCTTCTCTTTATGCAGCTTACCAGGGCGTCGAAGAGGGCGAAAGCCACTGGGTGAAGGTTGTCATCATCCTGTGGCCAAGAAACCTGTGTGGTCACAACCAAACCTTTCTCTCATGGGCCTGGCACAGCTCCTGACAGGAGCCTTTGGTTTCCAGCCTGCCAGGTGGTCTGCCAGGGAGGTGGGCTTTAACAGGTCCTGCTCTAGGTGGCCTGCCTGGGAGCCAGCGCTCTCAGCGGAGCTCGGGGAGCAGCAGCAAGCCTCGTTCCCTGAACTTGAGGGCACTAGGGGCTCTGATTCTGAATCCCAGCAAAACCAAATCCCCCAGCCCCTGTGGTTGCTTGTCTCTGCCCAGCTCTGCTTCCAACTCAGGAGAATCAACATGGCAGAGAACAGCCCCAGAGCCCTACAGAGCCACATCACCCCAGCTGTAGCCTCGCCCGGTCTCCTGAGAGTCCCACAGAATACCGCAAGGAAGAGCCTCAGCATGTAGCGCTCTCCTGTTGGCCGTGGGAAGGCTTGTCTGCTTAGAGCCAGGCAAATCATGAAGACAGGGGCTTAGTCTAAGTGAGAGAGATGATGCCGATGCGAGTAGATTGGGACATTGCTTGCTTTAGAGCAGTGTCTTCCTGGGATGCTGGGTGGATATAGAAAATGCACTAGTTAGGACCAAACTCCGAGCTTCTGGCTAGGATTACGGCTCAATAGGGGCAGGTCAGTAAGGAAATCCTTGTCTGCCTCTCCTTCTCATGTGGCAGAAATGGCGATGCAGGGGCAAGGACAGAAAAAAAAACCTCTCAACTGCCTCCAGTGATCCTCTCTCCTAGGAAGGAGACCAGGGGACTCCCCAGGGAAAG